TAGTATTACATTCAATACCGGCAATTACAGCTTGGGGGATTCGATCACTCAAAATCTTTCCTTTCTTGCAGGTTCAGGACAATGGCTACAGGCAAGCAGGAAACAAGTCCAGGCTGGAGGGGAGTGCTGAAGGCTGTGATCGAGAGATCCCAGTACGACACCTGACCGACACGGCACCTTCTCCCGCCTCATCTCTACCCTCACGCTGACCAGTCGCGGAGAGGGAGCGGAGTTCACAAACCCACCCGTCAGGGACACTCCACTCTGCCGCCTTTTCCCTTCCACAAAACACGCTCCCGCACCCCTCACTTCAGCCACTTTCATCGATCCCTCCCTCCTTCCTCCCCAGCTGCCCACGGCGCGTTTGCTGGCTTTGCTGACACCCCGACCCCACGGGCAGAGCCCCGGGGCCGGCAGGCGCCCCGTCCCGCAGCGCATTGGTATGCCTCTGGAGCTCCTTCACAATGAACTCAGAAGGACATCATCATCGCACCAGGCTCCCTCCAGCCCCCAAGATCAATAACTAATGCTGAACTCCAGATTTTATCTGCACTTGGCAAGGGTAACAAAATAACAGCCCCCTCCTTTTTTTCTTTCCAATTACTAAATCCTTTCAAGACTGACCCAGTAATTTTCAGCTCTATGAAATTTTAGGCAGTGCAGACAGCGATGAAAGCGATCTTCCAGAGTGTCTGCAGACATTGTGTGTGGTTTTGCTCCCTGTACAGAAGTGCAAAAGTACAGTTCAGGGTACAGAAATAGCGGATTACCAACACTTTCCTTCCAAAAAGAAACGGGGTCTAACTAAGCTGACCCAGAGAGAATTGCCTTTGAAATGCTGGTCCGCTGCGTGCCCACTATCTCAACTAAGCGGCCGAGCTAAAAGAACCCTTGCAGGAAGATGCTGCATCCCAATGAAGCTAGGGAATGTTTTACCTGCAACACTCCAAAAATTAACCACTCCTTCACTCATAGATTTTGTAGCCTGCCTTTAAGACAGCTAGCCATAAAGGCACAACATGCAATAGCTCTGAGCCTTGTTTTCCTTAGGGAACACCTGGGAATGGTCGGACATTAAAAAAGAAAAAGCAGCAGAGGCAACAACACGGTTAGCTTGACGGCATCCTTCGTGTTATAAAAGTTACGTGCTCTACTGGCAAGGCATTAAGTTTTACTTCGGGTGGGATCTTCAAGCCTTCCCAAGGTATTAATAAAACTGTTCAACGACGAGCGGTTTTGAAATCCCTCTTGCTACGTCTGGTTCGCTCTGTGCGTTGCCACTAACTAATGGGTGCTGGTCCAGTGCAGGCGGGTTACACGCTGCTGGAACACGCGCACACGGGTAGCACGCACGTGCCACAATTCTGTCAACAAATATTCTCAATTTGCTTGCAAGGAAATTTATCTCGCCTTCTAGCAGTAGGGAGTGAATTTCAATGTTTTTCCTTTCCCGCGCCTACGTTGATTATTCTAGGCAGAGACTAACTACAGTAAACCACAACGGATATTTTATCTGCCATTTCTCTTTCCCTTGGCTAATTTGAAGATACAGATTGCAATCCGCAAGTGGTTTTAAGAATTGCCATTAACACTGTTGCTGCATGCTACTGCATTTTAAACATGTTTCCAACACAATCAGAATGTCACAATTTGTAAAATCCTGGGTGATTTTATAAACGATCGATGCGGCAGAACTCGCTTCACCGCAACAGCCCACTGGTCGCTTTATTAGCCTGATTAGTGGTAGCTACCTGTACAGAAAAGGAAAGAGTGTCAGGAAAGACGGGATAAATTCAAGTGTGAAGATGAAGATGACTCTTTAATCTGCCTTTTACACCGTTTCTTCCTCCCACCTGTAGCTGGCAGAGGTACAGACCCAGAGCTCAGACTTTCAGGCTCGCTGGCAGCTGCTCCAGCTGCAGCAGCACAGCCCCTCGGCACCGGCCGGGCTCCGCTCGCTCGCAGGAATTTTATCTAATCCTGGCAAATGAGCAGCGCTGTCCTTCACCCAGCAAAAGGGTAAGCCTGTTCCCTGGGAAACAGCCTCCCAAACAGAGCTGACCCTCCCGGGTGCCGGAGAAGTCCCTTATTTGCCAGGAGCGGGGCCCTGGGCACCAGCAAGCAGGACGGAGCCTGGTGCCGGTGGAGCGCAGGGGAGGTGCAGGTACCGTCACCTCCTCCCAACGCACTTGGAGTCTGCTTTTGGTCCTTTGGGGCTTTTAGTTCCCCTCCCCTCCCTTAGATCTCCTCTGGGAGCTTTCACAAAGATGCTAATGTGAAGAGAAATGTTATGGCTTGCATGTATTAATACCAGGCTATAAAAAAAAGAATTAACCAGTGAAATAAATTCACAGAATTCCTAGGGAAAAAAAAAGACCTGTTGCCTCTTATCTTCAGCACGTATCACGGGGTAAAAAGCCCTTTATGGAAAAAAAAAAAAGGTTTCACAGCAGCTAAGGTACCTTCTACATCTACAGCCCTCAACTTCAGCAGTTATGGCCCTTTTCTCCAGGTAAGACAGCGGGAAGATGCTTTTGAAAGAGAAAATCCATCCTCCGGGGCTTATCTCAGGTTCCCACCTGACAGCAGGGCTCCCCAGCACTCTGTTCCAGCTTCCCCATAGAGCCCAGGGAAGCTGAACTGGAGCTGTTTGAGCAGAGCTCAGCACTAGCAGAGCACAAATGCCAATGCTTCCCGGTGCCCTCACGCCTTGGGAAGCGCTTACGGCAGTACAGTGCCACCGGCGGGGGACAACGGAGGGATCACCTTGAGGTACGTGGGGAAGAGATGAGCGTCTTGCTTGCAGGGAGCGGAGGAAGGTCTAAGCACTGCTCTGATTTTCATGTCCCTGCAGTCTCCTGCCTACGTTGGCAGTGGAGCCCAGGCAAGGCACAGGCTGTCAAAGAGACCCCAGTGAATTTGGTGGGTGGGAACAGAGCTCCCTGCAGGCACAGCCAAGAGCCTCGGCAGGAACAAAACTCCAGGATTTGGGACATTTCAGCAAACGGAGGCTTTCTCCTCCTGTGTCTGGAGCAGAGCCCTTAGCTAGGGTTGAGGCAGCTGCTGGGGCCGCCCGGCACTGCCGATGGGCTGCAGGACAGGCTGACGTCCCCCAGGACGCCCATGTGGAGCCCCCCCGTGTCACCAGCCCCTTGGAGAGGGACAGCAGAGACCTGCTCTGTGGGGTGACGGACGCAGAGACAAGAAACTGCAGGTCAGGGCCTGGCAAATCGGGCTGCAAAAGCTTCCAAAGGACCGGGCAGGGAAATGAATGCCAGGATGCGCTGTCAGCCTATCCCACACACCGTGTAAACTTGCCAGGTTTAACTGTCTGAAACAGTTTAAGAGAAGTAAACAAGGAATACAAACAGAAGCAGGCAGAGAAGTCACTGAAACACATTCACAGGGCCATATCTGCTGAGTATGTGCCTTGCTGGGACGGGAGCCCCCCGGTACGACTTGAGCCCGGCTGCCAGCAGACCACGTCCGAGCGGGGCCGCGGGGCCCTTGTGTCCAGCACAAAAGCACCACGTAACGCAGCCCCCGAATGCAACAAACATGCCAAGATCCTGAATGGAGAAGGGTATTTATGGCCCTTCTAAGGGTGGTTGAGAAGAGAAGGTGGAAAATTCCCTGGATATAAAAGGAAGTTGTCAGGGGTTGAACTTTCCAAATTATATAAGAGTTTTGAACACTTGGTTCCTGTTACAAAACTGATGGGCACTGGCTGTTCACATGCCTTCCCTGGCTCGAAGAGCTTATCTGTCCAAGCAAGCCTTTTGCTCGCTGCTGCTGAATTTTCCAGGGTACTCCGATCCCTGACTTCAGAGAGGGATCAGTGCCTGGGGGGGAACTGCTGGAGGGCAGAAATCCTATCCTGGAGGTTCGCCTGACTCACCAGCCATCCCCACGCACTACATTAAGGCAAGTATCAGAGCAGCGAATGACTGGGACAGGGCTGGGAGGTCTGGTGTGACCCTGCCACGGAGATGAAGTCGGGGCAGCAGTGGCCGGGCACTCTGGGCTGCTCTCCTCTGCCGTTCCCATCGCTGCCGGGCCGGGCCCAGGCCCCTTGACACCTCCACCCCCTAAACAAACTGCTACACACCCCGCTCCGAGGAGCTGACACGTTCGCGGATAAGACAATAACTGTATCACTCCAGAGAGCCCCCACGAAGAGGCTGGAGCATGAAGGGCAAACGACAAACCTCGGGGCTCCGTGTCCTGTTAAACTGGGGACGCTGGTGGCATGAAATCAGTCTGGTCCAGGGAGGAGGGACGAGGGAGCCTGTCCCCGGTGCAGCTTCTGGTGCCACCGTGAGAGCCCAGGTACATTTACCCCCTCCTCCAGCTGCCAGGCTGCTCTCTGCCTGGAGCTCAGCGTCTCCGCTGCAGCAATAACGTGAACCTCTCGCCAAGAGACACGAGGAGCATCATTTATTTCCACTGAAAGGAATGGCCATAACACTGAAAATAATCCTCAGCTCATTTTCACTGAACTGTACAAGCAATGATGAAGCCCCGTGTCTCTCGTGAAATATGTGGAGGGAAATTCCTCTTCTGGCAATCCTGCTTATTCTGAGCTACCATCTCTGGAGGTAAAAACTCCAGCATGCTTGAAACCCCAGCGGAGGGGCTTAGCACCTTGATTTTCTGGTGTCTCAGCTTAACTGGCCTTATGCCCAGCTTAATCTAATGCTAACCACCGTGGTACAAACCCTCTGCTTCCCTGCAGCCTCACCACACACAGCTCCGGGGGCTTTACTATCTCCACGGAGCCTGAGAACGGTCCTCCCAGAGATAAGTCGTTAGAAACTGAGCAGAAAAGTCATCTCTAATGAGAAAAAAACCACACGCCCTTCCTCGGCAACTCCCGCAGGCCAGAGGGATTTAGCACCGCTGGATTTAGCCACCGGGTCACCACGCTGACACTGGTTTTTGGCTGTGCTCACCATGCAGGAGCTGTCACAAGTGATGTCTGAGCTGCCGTTCTCTCTTACCTCTATGCCTGTTGGTCGTCTTGTCAAACATAAGCATGGCGTCCTCTACCTGCAAGAGAAGAGGGGAGATGCTGCTTAAACACACCGGCCGCAGGGTTCGCAAAGACACGACAGACAGACTGGCAAGGGGAGACAAAGGCAGGAGCAGCCTCAGCTCGGGTACAAACGGTGCAGCAGATCTTTGCTTTTGCTCAGTCAGCTCTTCCTTGGGGAAATCTGCTGCTTTCAACCCCCAGCCTAGCTGCCATTTGATCCTAAAGCGGAAAAGCGAACGTTAAAAGTTTTGTTGCCCTAAAAAGCCAAATATCTAAGGAGCTCTTCCACCTCTCGTCCGTCCCTGGCTGCGCCTCAGCTCAGCCTTTTTCCCTTTTGTAGGGAGATAAGGAAGGGCCAAGAGAGGGACTGTGGATGCAAATCAAGCCCATGACTTCTCCACATTAGAGTGATTGTCTTGGCTGAGAATTAGGAGGTTTCAAGAAGTACGAGCAGGGTAAATTCTGGTCAGCCAGGAAAGGTATTCAGACGTTTTTCAAAAGGCCTTTTGAACAGCTAGAGCAAAGAGGGGAAAGGGAGGAGGGAGAAAGTTTAATTCGCATCAGGCTTGGCATTTCCACTTCAGAAGAGAGATGACTGATGAAACGTATTGAAGTGCAACCAAATTGCTTTCAACTTTCATTACTATTTGCATGATTTATTCCACCTCCATTTAATCTGTGCAGCCACACCTAAAATTTTACACTTATTTTAGGAGGATGTTGTGCTGGGGTTTATTTTCCACCATTATCACGTTTTAAACTGTTGCTCAGAGGCTGCAGGAGCTGGGGCAGGTCGGTCCAATGTGCTGCAGGAAATGTCTTGGACAATCCTTCCGAAAAGAAATTACAGACTTGCTATTCCCCGCTGTAAACTAGGGGCTGATGAAAACCTGTATCATGGATAAATTGCAGAAGACGTTGCAGGAAGGGAGAAGATCTTTAAAGAAAGGGTTTTTTTTTTAAGGATTCCACTGCTTGTCTGCGGGGGTGGGTTTTGGGGCTTTTTAGGATTTTTTTTCCACAGTAATTTTTATGATACTTCCATGTTCTTATATTCTGGCCTTCTATAAATCATTTCTTTTAGGTGAGTGACTTACAAGGCAGCTACATGCTCTCTTCACCTGACACGGTGCCACCAAAGGGTCTGCCTTTCACCCCGCCGCTTCCTGCTGACCTCCTCCCTCCTGCCAACAGTCCGCGCAGCAGATCACGCCAGGGAACTGCTCCAGGTCAAAACCAACCGCGCTGCCCCTCCCAGGTTAGTCTGAAGCCAGAGCAGCCTCCCGGCACGGCTAAGCCAACGCTTGTGCTGCCTCCTGGGAAGGTGGAACCGCTTTCGGTAGCTGTGCCACCTTCTGCTGCCTTAACGTCACCCTGGACTTACAGCAGGGTTTGAGAGCTCCTGCCCGGACAGAATTCACGGTTCGGGGAGTGCAGTTTGCCTGTAGTCCCCTTATGCAGGGGAGCACACATCAAGCCTACTTCTGGGCTGATTTACAATCTCAGTCTTGGCTGGGCAGAGACATATTTTGGGAAGTTGGTAAAAACACGGCTTGAACCTCTCTTGACTATGGGACTGAAATATGTTCCAGGATAAAGTAAAAAAATACAGTGCAGTAAAACTTTACATCCTACCTAAACTCATCTAAAAACCTGTCTCTGGTTAACTTGTTCTTAACTTTCTCCAAGTGGTTCACAAAATGTGTTAGCAACGGCCTGAGATGGAGGAGAACAGCATGGCTCCTTGATACCCATCTCGAGTGAGATCTAAAGATGCTGATGCACTGAAAAACCCAAACCACATTAAGCCCAGAGCCATTTGTCCTGCTGTCTTTCTTCACTTGGAGGAAGAAAATTCGCAAGGATGAGTAATACCAGAAGGCAGATAAGGACAGAGCTCCCTTCACCCCACCACCAGTGCTTATCTCTGCTCTGGGGTTACATTTGCACAGCAATCTTTATTTTTCATTCGCATAGGTCTTGGCCTCACTGGAACCAAAAATTACATGTCACACCTAATGCTGTTTCCCAGAGCATCGCCGCTTCCTCCGGCCCCATCCACACGCGTGTGCTGACCACCTTTATGGCCCCTCCTGCAGAAGTTTTAACGTGCAACTCTTCCAGTGGAACCTTTGTGCCTCTGATCCCCCAGCAGAGCCCAGCGGGGGACACGCTGCAGCACAGACCCCACCAGCCCGGGGAGGTTCCCCGTCCCCCGAGGCGGAGGCTGCCGCTCTCCTGGCTGGCTCCGCTCTCCTGGCTGGATCCGCACTGACAGGGCTGTCATTTCAAAATGACACCTCCATCCTGCAAGGACATGACTGGGGACTTTGAAAAGGCTGTTAGGGGGAGAGGAGAAACTCGGTGAGGCACAACACAACTCCACCCTCACTTCAGCATGGCCACGTCCCAGCCCGAGCTCAGGTGGGCACAACCCGCTCGCGGGCTCGTCTGGGGCCGGCAGCAGCACCACGACGGGGCTGACCCTCCTGTGCAGCCTCACCCTGCTCCTCCGAGAGCTGCCACCACAAGAGGAGGGACAGGTCCTGGCATGGGACCAGGCCCTGGGAGGGGTGAGGGGTGCGGGGTCCCGCTCCTGGGCATGCTGGGCACCCGCCCCTGCGCTCACCTCTCCCACCCGCGCCACCCGTCTCGCCCCCCAGCGCCACGTTCCCTGGGCAAAGAGCGGTTTGTGCGTGTGCACCACGGCCCCGCTTGGCTGGAATGATGATCTTGGCAGAGATCTTTCTGATGCAAATAAATCCTTATTAGCAGTAAGGAGCGCAGCCCGCCCGGGCTGACCCAGGGGTTTCCACCGTGCTGGCTGGGACCCCAAGGGGTGCAGGCGCCCCGGGGTGGGCTCCGTCCCTCCAGGCAGCGGCTCCGACTTCTGGGACCCCAGGGAAGGGTCAGCCCCGCCAGTTCAAATCTGAAAACCTGCAAGGGGGCAAGCGGCTCTGCAGCTGAGCTTCAGATGTGGACCAAGCATGCCTTTAAGAAAAAATAATCAGTGGGGTGTTCTTTAAGCCAGCTGGTGCTCTTTCAACAATGTCTAATTGGTTATCTTTTCTGTTTCCTAAGGTCAGAACATTTTATCTCCGTCTCTGCCCTTTCTGAGTTTACCCCACCCTGCGTTATTTTTTAGGGCAGCCATTGTACCAGAAGAATAGCCTCTTTCCTCCATAGTCCGGTGACACAATGAGACTTCTTGAAACCTCCTGAATAGATAAAAGTGCAATGGCAAAGGAAAATTCTATTAACGCTTCGCAAAATAAAACATCTAAGAGCTGGTTAGACAAGCAGGAGAAGAAAATCAATATGGAGAGGGCAGCGCGCTTAGAAAAACTTTTCACCAGTTGCAAAAAGGTGGCGAGGATATGGGAGGGAGGGGGAGAAAGAAACTTATTAATTCAGAAAACCCATCAATGGTATGGAAATCTGGCAGAACAGCAAGAACTGAAACTAGAAGAATTTGAATATACAAAGGGCTGAATAGAATGAGAAAACCACACTGCCTCTCACACACAGCCTGTTTCTCACGGTTCTCTGTGAATCAAACACAAGTGGCTTGTTCAAGTTTTCATCGAGGAGAAATAAGGGACACAGTCAAGGTAACCGGCAGTAAACCCTATAGTAAGCAAATTGATCCCTATTTCAGGGGAAGGAAAAAAAAAAAAAACCCTCACCTAAAACCAGCCCACAGACTAAACTCAAGTATATTCAGGAGCTGCAACTGTCCCAAAGTTAACCCCCTCCTCCCGCCTTGGAGGCTCCCTTGCTCGCCCAATATTTTAAAGATGCTTGAACCGCGAGTTTTCCAGGTCTCAACTCAAAACGTGCAACTAGCACCTTGCTTACAAAGAGAAGGCAGTTTTTTCCACGGTTAGAAGCCGGAGTGGAAGAGGCCGTTGCCACCTCAAGGCTTGGCTGATCACCCACCACACATGGCCAGCTCAGCCCTGTCACGGCCACCAACGTGGCCTCCTGTAAGCACGTTCTCTGGGCACGGCGGAAAACCCCGCACCAGCAAAGAGCTGAATTCCCCCAGCTGAGGTGTGAGGCGCTGAGCCACCAAGCAGAGCCACCTCCCTCCCGGCGCGCTCAGACAGCACCTGGCAAGCCCAAAATTTGTGCCTTTTCTCAGAGGTGGGATGGCTCCGTATGGAGGTTTGAAGGAGCTGATTAATCTGAACTAATTCTGGGCATCAAATGAGCGTGTATTACGAAATGAGCGGTCTTAGCACTTAAAGTAAATTAAGAAAAAAAAAGAAAAAACTTCCCAGACAATACCAGTTTCAAATGGACACTTAAGCCCAACAGACTTCTCCTCAGCCCCAGCATACCCCATACATATATCCAATTCAGACCCAGTTTCTTATATAAAGCCTAACTAAAGTGCTTTAGTTTATTTAACTTTTTTTTTTTTCCTATCCACTTGGGGCTCTGAGAAAAGGAAGGGCTATACCAGTTCATTACTCACTGCCTGGAAGGAGGAATAGGGGAGAATAGGAGGAAAGAAAAAAACCTGGAGGAGCCAAAGGCTTTAATAATCCTAACAGTTCCCAGGGTTATTTAAAATATGCCCAACCAGTTCACAAAAGGCTCCACAGAGATAAATGTATTTGATTTTCTTCCACTTTAATGGAGGCATACATTTAAAGCAACAAAACCAGGGTGACCTAAATAAAATGACTATTAATTGTACTCAGAAAGGCTCGGAATTTAATGCAACTGATCTAGCCCGGCACAAGAACACACGGAATTCGCCATTCATTCCTCCCCCTTTCCTCTCCAGGACTTTCAACTCCTCTCTTTGCCACGAGGCAGTCCCGAGCGCTCCGAGATGATCCAACCCGGCGCCAGCCCCTCGCCGCTCACACCCTAACGGGCAGCGAGTCCCGGGCCGCGCTCAGCAAGCGGCTGGAGGACAGAACGGGAGCGCGGGGCCGCGGCCGAGAGCCGCCGTGACCAAACCGGGATGTTTTCTGGAAAATTTCACGCCTGGGCTTGCATT